TATCAAACACGCTCACGCATGCCTGCTGGAAGTCCAAGCCCGTCACACACAAAACCTCATTTACCCCCTCCCTTCAACCTTTCCTAGGCCGACCCCCTACCCCGCCTTCCTTCCACTACAGACTGATACACTCTTGAAGTCATTCTGTTTCACTCCATTCTCTCTACATGTCCGAACCACCTCAACAACCCTTCCTCAGCCCTCTGGACAACAGTTTTGGTAATCCCGCACCTCCTCCTAACTTCCAAACTATGAATTCTCTGCATTATATTCACACCACACATTGCCCTCAGACATGACATCTCCACTGCCTCCAGCCTTCTCCTCGCTGCAACATTCATCACCCATGCTTCACACCCATATAAGAGCGTTGGTAAAACTATACTCTCATACATTCCCCTCTTTGCCTCCAAGGACAAAGTTCTTTGTCTCCACAGATTCCTAAGTGCACCACTCACCCTTTTTCCCCCTCATCAATTCAATGATTCACCTCATCTTTCATAGACCCATCTGCTGACACGTCCACTCCCAAATATCTGAATACATTCACCTCCTCCATACTCTCTCCTTCCAATCTGATATCCAATCTTTCATCACCTAATCTTTTTGTTATCCTCATAACCTTACTCTTTCCTGTATTCACTTTTAATTTTCTTCTTTTGCATACCCTACCAAATTCATCCACCAATCTCTGCAACTTCTCTTCAGAATCTCCCAAGAGCACAGTGTCATCACAAAGAGCAACTGTGACAACTCCCACTTTATGTGTGATTCTTTATCTTTTAACTCCACGCCTCTTGCCAAGACCCTCGCATTTACTTCTCTTACAACCCCATCTATAAATATATTAAACAACCACGGTGACATCACACATCCTTGTCTAAGGCCTACTTTTACTAGGAAATAATTTCCCTCTTTCCTACATACTCTAACTTGAGCCTCACTATCCTCGTAAAAACTCTTCACTGCTTTCAGTAACCTACCTCCTATACCATACACCTGCAACATCTGCCACATTGCTCCCCTATCCACCCTGTCATACGCCTTTTCCAAATCCATAAATGCCACAAAGACCTCTTTAGCCTTATCTAAATACTGTTCACTTATATGTTTCACTGTAAACTGTAATAATAATATCTTTATTTATATGGGTGTAAAGCATGGGTGATGAATGTTGCAGCGAGGAGAAGGCTGGAGGCAGTGGAGATGTCATGTCTGAGGGCAATGTGTGGTGTGAATATAATGCAGAGAATTCATAGTTTGGAAGTTAGGAGGAGGTGCGGGATTACCAAAACTGTTGTCCAGAGGGCTGAGGAAGGGTTGTTGAGGTGGTTCGGACATGTAGAGAGAATGGAGAGAAACAGAGTGACTTCAAGAGTGTATCAGTCTGTAGTGGAAGGAAGGCGGGGTAGGGGTCGGCCTAGGGAAGGTTGGAAGGAGGGGGTAAAGGAGGTTTTGTGTGCGAGGGGCTTGGACTTCCAGCAGGCATGCGTGAGCGTGTTTGATAGGAGTGAATGGAGACAAATGGTTTTTAATACTTGACATGCTGTTGGAGTGTAAGCAAAGTAACATTTATGAAGGGGTTCAGGGAAACCGGCAGGCCGGACTTGAGTCCTGGAGATGGGAAGTACAGTGCCTGCACTCTGAAGGAGGGGTGTTAATGTTGCAGTTTAAAAACTGTAGTGTAAAGCACCCTTCTGGCAAGACAGTGATGGAGTGAATGATGGTGAAAGTTTTTCTTTTTCGGGCCACCCTGCCTTGGTGGGAATCGCCAGTATGATAATAAAAAATAAATAAAAAAAATAACATGTACAAGGTATACAGGTCTAGCTGACATCAATGACATACTACTGTATAGAAAGCCGCTTGTTATGCTGAGTATTTCAAGAAAATTAGGTCAATGTCCCAGGATAACACCCACACTAGTCAGCTAGCACCCAGGTACCCATTTACTGATGGGTAAACATAGATAACAGGTGTAAAGAAACACGCCTAATGTTTCTACCCTGGCTGGGAATCGAATATTTACCAAAAATCATATATGGCTAACCCAAGCCAGGTACTAAAAATAAGCCAAGTTGACTTTTTTGGGTTATCCTAGGTTCTCTACACATATGCTGCTGTGTGATAATCTATATAGAGAAAATAACTTTTGTTTCATGTTTATTGTGCAGTACGAGTGTATATGACAGTTAGCCCTGTGCTATACTCCGTTTTCTCTAATATAAGCCACCAAGACAGGGATAGGAGAATGGTATTTGCATACCATATCCTCTTCATACCTCCGTTGAACTGCTCGGTGTTATGCCAAATAATGTTATTTATATTGTTTATTATGTCATATTAGATCAATTGTGATAGGCAAATAAGCTGTAGTGTTGATATTAGCATAATAATAAAGCATATTCTCCTGCTTCATGAGACTGAGCTCATGGCAACCGACAGTGGCTTCAAAGCCACCTTATCTTTAATGGATAATGTACTGTGTAGGTGCTTTAAATAATGAGAAGCGTTTCTTTTGTTCATTGGAACTATGGCTAGGGCTAAAAGTAAGCAGGTTAAAACAATAAATGGAGAAAAATTGGAATGACTTATGCAGCAAGTAGCGCCACTAAACAGTACCAGCAGGTTGGTGTGGTGACCCTGGAAATTTGAAATTATGCTAGCCAAAATTAGTGCCGAATAACTGAAGGAACCGAATAACTGATTGCCGGATTTGTGATGGCGGACCTGTACCAAACCCATTTAGGTCATACAGTGCTGCAACAGCCTTGGATAGAGATTTCTTTGGGAATTTCAGCATTAACATTCCAATCTTCATATCGTTATAAATGATATTTAATTTTAATTGACATAGCATGTATCAATTATATATGTAGCAATAATAAAAATAACAATAGAATTAAATCAGGGTTAGAATTCTAATACAATACCTACACTCTGAAGGAGAGTGTGTTAAATGTTGCAGTTTTATAACTGTAGTGTAAGTGCACCTGGCAAGATAGTAATGGAGTGAATGATGAAAGTTTTTCTTTTTCCAGCAACCTTGCCTTGGTAGGAAACGGTTGATGTGGTTATAAAATAAAAATAAATTCTGGTCTTGGGTTCATGAAGACATAGAGTGCCTAAGAATGTATGAAGAGCTTGCACATTTAGCAGTTTTAGGAATTCATATTGTATTTCTAGGAAGTACTAAAAACATGTGGATTACTGAGTGCAAAGAGTGGTAAAGGCTTGATCCTTCTTCCATTAATCACAATGTAGAAAGTCTACTCTCATAGTTAAGCTTACTTAATAGTTTTATGGATATGAATAAGGTTGGCTTGTTTAAATTTTGTTATCCTGCCTGCTGAAATTTTGTGTAATAAGAGACTTGCAGTAGTTGCTCGTTGTTGATCACTGTATATAAATATTCTTTCAACAAACCGGCTATATCCCACCGAAGCAGGTTGGCCCAAAAAGAAAACGAAAGTTTCTCTTTTTAACTTTAGTAATATATACAGGAAAAAGGGTTACTAGCCTCTTGCTCCCGACATTTTAGTCGCCTCTTATGACACGCATGGCTTACAGAGGAAGAATTCTGTTACACTTCCCATGGAGATAAGAGGAAATAAACAAGAACAAGAACTAGAAAGAAAATAGAAGAAAACCCAGAGGGGTGTGTATATATATGCTTGTACAAGTATGTGTAGTGTGACCTAAGTGTAAGTAGAAGTAGCAAGACGTACCTGAAATCTTGCATGTTTATGAGACAGAAAAAAGACACCAGCAATCCTACCATCATGTAAAACAATTACAGGCTTTCGTTTTACACTCACTTGGCAGGACGGTAGTACCTCCCTGGGCGGTTGCTGTCTACCAACTTACTACCTTGGTGTATGTAAATCTTGTACGTAAATTATGGACAGACTAGCTAGTAGAACTGGATACACAATAGTGTATCCACCTCTACTAGCCTTTATTTGTTCAAAAGTGTGACTTTTATTGTAATGTGCTGACATTCACATGATTCTTATTTTACTGGAGGGAGGGGGGTAAAGGAGGTTTTGTGTGTGAGGGGCTTAGACTTCCAGCAAGCATGCATGAGCGTGTTAGATAGGAGTGAATGGAGACGAATGGTATTTGGGACCTGATGAGCTGTTGGAGTGTGAGCAGGGTAATATTTAGTGAAGGAATTCAGGGACACCAGTTATTTTATATAGCCGGGCTTGAGTCCTGGAAATGGGAAGTACAATGCCTGCACTCTAAAGGAGTGGTTTCGGATATTGGCAGTTTGGAGGGATATATTGTGTATTTTTATACATATATACTTCTAAACTGTTGTATTCTGAGCACCTCTGCAAAAACAGTGATTATGTGTGAGTGAGGTGAAAGTGTTGAATGATGATGAAAGTATTTTCTTTTTGGGGATTTTCTTTCTTTTTGGGTCACCCTGCCTCGGTGGGAGATGGCCAACTTGTTAAAAAAAAAAAGAAAAAAATTCCCATTAAACAGTAATAAGGTAAAAGAACATTAAAATGCATCTAATTTTTTTTTGTCATCTTTCATGACATTTACCTCATGAGCTCAAATAAATCTTGTTTTGCAGTTGTTACAAACAACTGTTTTGCTGAGGTTATAGTTTATGCATATTTATTAGGTTCTTAATCAGTCCAAAGTTTTTAATACAGTATTAATAACATGTATATCTTTATGTTTGGATTTTATTTTGCAGTGTTTATAAATAACTCTTGTGCATATTCATTAAGTTTTTTAACCCTTAAATGGTCCAAACAAATCGACGTTCAAATTCGTAGTGCTACAAAAGTAGATCTACCCTTTTTTTTACATATTTTCAAATATAACAAAAAACAATGTAGATAAAAGTTTTTTTACACGTTTTCAAATGTAAAACAAAAAAGAAGATCTACATTTTTTTACATACTTTCAGATGTTGAAAAAATGTATATATACGTTTGGACCATTTAAGGGTTAATTGGTTTAGTTTCTTTTTTGTACAGTATTAACAGCACAGTTGCATTATTTCTATCTTCAGAGAAGCCATGTGTTGTATGATCGGAAAGGTGATGAGCACTACAATTTTGCCTCAGCCCTGCAAAAGTCCATAAGAGGTGGGGATGACAACGCTGCTCTCTACTGGACCATGCGCATGATCAGGGGAGGAGAGGACCCTCGATTTATTGCTCGCAGGCTTGTCAGGACAGCAGCTGAAGATATTGGTATGCTTACAATAAATAATTTTAATTATTTTCCAGTTTTAACTAATTTAGTCTGCAACTGTACTTAACCCGTAAACGGTCCAAACGTATACAGTGGAACCTCTACTTGCGAGTGTGTCCACGTGCTAGTTTTTCCAAATACGAGCAGTCGATGGGTCGATTTTTTGCTTCCATACGCGAGCAAAATTTCCACAAGTGAGCAGACCTCAAGGCAGGTTCCTTGACACTGGTGAGGGGCTCTTGCTCTTGATCTCGGGAATTGTATCTCATTTGTTTGTTGGACTATCGTATTGAAACTTAGGCAATGTATGATGGAGAGATGCTTTTTAATGTACACCAATACTGAAAGAATTCTAAGCATAAATAATGGAGTTCACTTCTCAGCAATTACCCACCCCTTAGTGGTAATTTCGAATGGTTTTTATGGTTGTATTCTCGTTTTTTTGGTCTCATTTGATAGAATGGAAGATATATTACAGAAATACAGTAGATATGATTTTGATCGCTTTCATGATGAAAAGTGCCTTGAAATTGAGTTCAACCTAGGAGAAATGGTCCATTGCTAGGCTGTTTCAGTGTAAACAAATGACGTCACTGTCCATTCCAACATGCAGTCGTGAATGGGTTGAGATATTTATACAATTATTGCAATAAGGAATAACAGTAAATCTTATATTTTTTGTGTGAATAAAAATTACAAATAATAATAATAATAATAATAATATGTATAATAATAATATGAATAATAACAATACGTTTAATAATAATAATAATAGTATAATACAATAATAATAATAATAATATAATATATATAATAATCATAGAATTGATGAGGGAAAAAAGGTGAGTGGTGCGTTGAGGTATATGTGGAGTCAAAAAACGTTATCTATGGAGGCAAAGAAGGGAATGTATGAAAGTATAGTAGTACCAACACTCTTATATGGGTGTGAAGCTTGGGTGGTAAATGCAGCAGCGAGGAGACGGTTGGAGGCAGTGGAGATGTCCTGTTTAAGGGCAATGTGTGGTGTAAATATTATGCAGAAAATTCGGAGTGTGGAAATTAGGAGAAGGTGTGGAGTTAATAAAGGCATTAGTCAGAGGGCAGAAGAGGGGTTGTTGAGGTGGTTTGGTCATTTAGAGAGAATGGATCAAAGTAGAATGACATGGAAAGCATATAAATCTATAGGGGAAGGAAGGCGGGGTAGGGGTCGTCCTCGAAAGGGTTGGAGAGAGGGGGTAAAGGAGGTTTTGTGGGTAAGGGGCTTGGACTTCCAGCAAGCGTGCGTGAGCGTGTTAGATAGGAGTGAATGGAGACGAATGGTACTTGGGACCTGACGATCTGTTGGAGTGTGAGCAGGGTAATATTTAGTGAAGGGATTCAGGGAAACCGGTTATTTTCATATAGTCGGACTTGAGTCCTGGAAATGGGAAGTACAATGCCTGCACTTTAAAGGAGGGGTTTGGGATATTGGCAGTTTGGAGGGATATGTTGTGTATCTTTATATGTGTATGCTTCTAGACTGTTGTATTCTGAGCACCTCTGCAAAAACAGTGATAATGTGCGAGTGTGGTGAAAGTGTTGAATGATGATGAAAGTATTTTCTTTTTGGGGATTTTCTTTCTTTTTTGGGTCACCCTGCCTCGGTGGGAGACGGCCGACTTGTTGAAAAAAAAAAAAAAATATAATAATAATACATATATAATAATAATGTACTGCATATAATAATTATAATAGACGGCCTCAAAAGGCCGTCACTAGATGGCATTGTGTACCACAACAAAGAGGGAGCGGTTGTGGCCGCCTCCATCTGTTACATAATGACATATTTTATTCATTCTAGAGTATATATCGTGTTTCTATGTTATTTATATTGTCTGTTATGTCATATTAGATGAACTGTGATATATAAATAAGCCGTATAGATGATATTAGCAAAATTATTCATGAAGAATTTTGCCCGGTGTCCAGACAAACTCGTCCACTGCCGACACCGCCCATACCACTACATGAATGACATATTTTATTCATTTTAGAGTACATGTATATATCAGGTTTCTATATTATTTATATTGTTTATTGTGTCATATTAGATGAAGTGAGATAGATAAATAAGCCGTAGAGTTGATATTAGCGAAATTATTGAAGTACAGAATTCCACTGGAATGGATTAATTACATTTCAATTAATTTAAATGAGGAAAATTGACTCTGCAAATGAGCAAATCCAGTTGCGAGCGAGGTCATGGAACGGATTAAACTTGCAAGTAGAGGTTCCACTGTATATACGTTCACTATCCCAGTGCCCTGAATATTTTGAAAAATAAAAAATCATATTTTTTATGGAAATAGAGAGCACATTTTTCTAAGTGTTATAAGATAAAAAAAAAATTAGGGTTAGTACTTAGATGAAGCCAAGAAGTTGGCATTGGATGCTCATCTGACGGCAACCTCAAGTCCTGCTACTTGCAGAAGTGTTGCTGATATACCTTTTTTTCTCTTTTTCATATTATTTTATATAATTTTTATGTTCTGATAAATACAGTTTGTAGTAGTTCTTGTCATTTCATAACCAATCTTTGTTCTGACAGTAGTATTAAGTACTGAAATTGTACCCAGATTGTCACACACTGACAGGTGGACATATACACCTGCCTTGGTCATTTACTATTGTCTTGGAATATATACAAAGTATTTATACGTCCCAGAATGTTTTGGACACGTGGGAGTATATAAGAAGAAAAAGTAGTAGTAGTAGTAGTAGTAATAGCAGTGATAGTAGTAATACTGGTAGTATTAGTGGTAGTAGTGGTAGTAGTAGTGGTAGTAGTAGTAGTACTAGTAGTAGTAGTACTAGTAGTAGTAGTAGTAATAGTAGTAGTAGTTCTTCTTCCCTTGAAGCATGTAAAACAAGCCTCAGTCCACCCCTGACAGTGAAGTGATAAGATGAGATAACATAAGATAAGATGTGACATTTGATGAGCATACGGTAGGGTGCAGTGATAGGACTTGATAAGATAAGATTAGAGCGTCGGCTCTTGCTTTGTTTTCACTGGTACACAAACATGCCCTCTGACTAATACTTTTATTAACGCCACACCGTCTCCTAATTTCCACACTCCGAATTTTCTGCATAATATTTACACCACACATTGCCCTTAGACAGGACATCTCCACTGCCTCCTCACTGCAGCATTTAGAACCCAAGCTTCACACCCATATAAGAGTGTTGGTACTACTATACTTTCATACATTCCCTTCTTTGCCTCCATGGATAACACTTTTTGCCTCCACATATACCTCAATGCACCACTCACCTTTTTTCCTTCATCAATTCTATGATTAACCTCATCCTTCATAAATCCATCCGCTGACACGTCAACTTTCAAATACATGTATCTGAAAACATTCACTTCTTCCATACTCCTCCTCCCCAATTTGATATCCAATTTTTCTTTATCTAAATCATTTGATACCCTCATCACCTTTACTCTTTTCTATGTTCACTTTCAACTTTCTACCTTTACACACACACCCAAATTCATCCACTAACCTTTGCAATTTTTCTTTAGAGTCTCCCATAAGCACAGTATCATCAGCAAAAGGTAACTGTGTCACTTCCTATTTTGTATTTAATTCCCCATAATTTAATCTCACCCCTCTCCCGAACACCTTAGCATTTACTTCTTTTACAACCCCATCTATAAATACAGTATATTAAACAACCATGGTGACATTACACATCCCTGTCTAAGACCTACTTTTACCGGAAAATAGTCTCCCTCCCTTCTACACACCCTAACCTGAGCCTCACTATCTTCATAAAAACTCTTAACAGCATTTAGTAACTTACCACCTATTCCATATACAGTGGACCTTCAGCCAACAATATTAATCCGTTCCTGAAAGCTCATTGTATGCTGAAGTTATCGTTAGCGGAATTAATTTTCCCCATAAGAAATAATGGAAATCAAATTAATCCGTGCAAGACACCCCAAAGTATGAAAAAAAAAATTTTTTTTGATGGGATGGGAGGAGGGGAGAGTGTGGAAGTTGTTAATGTTTAGAAGGGGAATCCCCTTCCATTAGGACTTGAGGTATCAAGTCCTTTTCTGGGGTTACTTCCCTTCTTCTTTTAATGCCCCTAGGGCCAGCTTGAGAGTCACTGGACCTCTGTCGCACAACATATCTGCCCATAGAGGCCTGTACCTTCCGTTCCTTTATGATTTGTCTAAAGTGGTTCACAACATTGTCATTGTAATAGTCACCAGCACGGCTTGCAATAGCTGTGTGAGGGTGATTTTTATCCATAAAGGTTTGCACTTCAACCTACATTGCACACATTTCCTCAATCTCTTTCTTCATATCCATAGTAATTCTCACCCTTTTTCCTGCAGGGTTGGCACTAAAAGCTTTCTTGGGGCCCATGGTGACTTATTTTGCAGGTACAATCACTAAAAACGCTGTGATAATATGAAATGTTCCGATTGTATGCATGGATGCGACTGCACTGGCTGACTTGTAAACACTGGCACCCACGGGACAACTGAGGCGCGCTCAGGCCACACGTGGACGCGTCTCGAACGAATCGTGTAGGGTGAGTTTTTTAGCGTTAGTTGAGGCAAAATTTTTGCGTTAAAATGTATCGTATGCTGGATTTAACATAAGGTGATGCCATCATTGGCTGAGGGTCCACTGTACTTGCAACATCTGCCACATTCCTCCTCTATCCACTCTATTATATGCCTTTTCTAAATCCATAAATGCAATAAAACTTCCCTACCTTTATTTAAATACTGTTCACATATATGCTTCAATGCAAACACTTGGTCTACACATCCCCTACCCACTCTAAAACCTCCTTGCTCATCCACAATTCTACATTCTGTTTTACCTCTAATTCTTTCAATAATAACCCAACCGTACACTTTTCCTGGTCTTCTTCTTTCTTTCAACACACAGGCCGTATCCCACCAAGGCAGGGTGGCCCAAAAGGAAAAACG